GCCTTTGATATGAGTTAATATTTGTTTATGGTTAGAATCATTGAAATGTGTTCAAATATTTACCTTTAATGGATTTACAAGTTGGGTTGGACTCAATCATAAAGCAAAATCAGAGAATTTATTTAGTTAATTTTTATATTTAACTGCAAACATTTTTAGTGCGCAACTAAACTACCACATTTAAGTAGGGAAGCTACAAACATTGAAATTTTCAAATGCAGTTTTTTGAATGAAAGTAGTCAAATAGCCCTTAAAATCCACTTGAATAGGTCAAGAAGCTAAAACTCTGTGGAACTTCGAATACACTCGCAAAACCTTCATAATCCCAGTTAAAGTTGCGAAGTCAATTAGCGCGAAGTTAATTTGAAAACAACTTTTTTGAGCCTTAAATAAAGTTGCCATCATTTTTTTGTTGTTTTAATTAGTCACAAAATTATTTCAAATTCAACAGTGAATAAGTTCCAACAGAGAGAAAAAATATTTTTTTCAACGAGGAGCGATGAGAGATACATCTCAAACAATCCAACAAATCCTGATTTTTGCTATTTTAAGTTTGAGACTTTTCCTCAATTTGCGATAAATGCTGATTTTTGCCGACTTTCTAAAGTTGTCCTTAAAATTGACGTTTTCACTAAAATTCACTCGGTGCTTGAAAAATTCACGGCGTCCAACCTAGAGGGAGTAGCAAGTTGAAACATTAACAATATGTAGGAGACATTTGAATCTCAAACTCCCAAAAATTTCAATCAAATCGGCCCGACTCCTAATTTTTACCGACTTGGTAAATTCGTCCTAAAATTCAAGCTTCCACACAAATTCAATCAAGTTTACAAACACTGTTTGAAAAATTCAAAACTTTTAATTTAGGGCGAGTAGCAATTTGAAACTTTGGCAGTCTACAGAAGACAGTTAAATCTCAAAATTTAACGTGTAGAAGATTAGGGAAGCACCTAAAATCAGACCAGCAAATTTAGAAAACTAAAATGAGCCCTCAAAAGCCCAAATTGCATTTGATTCTGAAAGTTCTGCAAACTTGCGGAAAACATAACTTTGTAAAACCCTCAAAGTTGGCATCAAAACCAATAGAACAACAAAATGTTGAGCTTGACTCCCCAGATCGTGAATGAATTCCCTACACCATTGAAATCCCCAAAAAATCGGTCGATTTTCGATTAAAACACTCGACAAAAAATTGGGATTTCCGTACGATTGCTGCCCAATCTAAATCTTAGATTCATGAGAACTTTTCCTTCATTAATTCAGAATCAATGTTAGACTGAACAGGCTTGGCGCCCTTTGTTCCCGAGCCCACCCCTGAATTAATTGATTCAACCCGCTTGATGAATGACTGTGCTATATTAAAGGTAACTGTCCTTAGGTAGCGATTTGGGTCACAAGTTTACCAATAAGGGCGATTGTGTTTACGTATGGTGTCGTCGTGCTTCAGCACGTGCTAATTAAACTTTCTAAGGACCGTTTTAGCCAATCGGGCCGATATAGAAGGCCAATAGGCTGCAGCCAATCGAATACACGAACAAAAACCATGTTAAAAGTTCCCAGGCATTTCATAAAGATTATGGCTGGATGACTAAATGCACACACCTCAAAATAATTAATTGCGCTTTACCAAACTAGATTAAAGATAGGGAAAATTGTTATCGCGAAAGTAGAGTGGTGGATACAAAACACATCAATTTTATATAATAAGTAGTTCGGTACTTAAATGCGTTTTTCTGCAGATCTGGATATTAAGCCAAATCTCAGGGTTTTTTAATTTCCTTCCGGGATTTGAGAAATGATCAATCATTTGGAACAGTATTTCATTTGGACAGCCGAATGCAGTTATTAAAGCAGCTTGCAAATAGTACAAATTGTTATGGCGAAAGTCGAGTGGCGTTTTCAAAACACATCAATCTTATACAAATAAGTGCACTTCTGATATGCAGCAGTGCGTTTAAGTGGGGATTTTCCGAAATCTCGCAGAAACACAAACATGTATTTTTATTTCAGAGTTACTTAAGCCCGAAAATCATCAATCACTCGATAATGTCTAACGAAATTTGAATTGAAAACCCGCACACATATTTTAAGCGCCAGACGTATCAAGTTGGAACGTCGCACCGCTTGAACCATAATGCATCTTTCTTAGACTCCTCTGGGTGCGAGTGAGACTACCGATTCCTGCTACGTTCTTGAATGGCAAAATGAGCTTCATTTAACTGATCCGAAGCGGTCCGCGCGAAACCCGAAAATAACCGACTGTTCAAACGCAAGCCGCAAAAGTCTGAACAATGTTATGGGCCTGGTTGAAATTGCTCAGAAGGTTCGAAAAGTCAGTTGTCAGACCTCATTTGTTCTTGCCGAAATCTAACCATCCGATAACGAAAATTGTCGCATGAAACAAAATCTTGAGGAGAATCGGGGTCGAAACCAGTTTTCAGGAGCAACGCGCTTCGATATGAAGACGAACCTAAAGCAACGGCCTGAAACTGCTTGAAGCCAACAGCCCATGTAGGTTTGTTTTATAGCGAAGAAAAACGCTTTGTTCAAACAGTTTTTAATCGAAAATTCCGCAGCCACTCTCGGCTCTCCACTCTAATAAAGATTGAAAAATCTGCGAATATTCGTGACAAATAGCAATAAACTTCGACGACCTGGAAATATTACTCTGAACGAGTTCATATAAATTTCATAAAATTCACTAGCATGCGAGCCTGTATTAGTGCTGTCGATGCCTTATTTATATTGCGGCTATTCGCAAAGTGACTAAAAAGCCATGCATAAATAAATATAAAAACCAAACATTCCAACAGGCAACAGGTTAAATACATATTCTCTTGCATGAGACGAAATCGAAACAAGTAAAATACAACTTTTTTCAAATATTACCTGTTTCGTTAATCCACCTACTTATTGCAGGTGAAACAGCAAAGTCGAGAGGAAAAACGAATTTTTGCATAAACAGGAAGCCTTTAGAGCCACAATAACGTGCCAACAATTTGAATAGAATTGCCACTCCTTTGTAACTTGCTGTTTATATACATTTCAAACATACACGCATTTCATATGAGAGCTTTGCCAGTACCTACGTAATATATGCAAGAAGATTTGATGGTCGAACAATTATAAAACCAATGACAATGAATGACAAAAATTGTATTTTTTTGCATACTTCTTGTTGGGCGTTTAATTCAAAAATTGTATTGTTGAATCGAACACTAAAGTTTTGAAAATTGTTCCTTCCAAAACAATTTCAAGAAATTGCACGACGTTTTAAATCGCTCAAGTGCACACAATCACTTGAAACATGTTTTGCTTGCGAAATATTTGATTTGCAAATGGATGGATGATAGAATGTGGTTTCTTCTGCAAACCCTTCAAACACGCCCAGATAAGCAACTGTTTAGTTTCATGACTATCTTGTCTCATTCCTCCACCTTCTTCATCATTCACTGTCTTCAATTTCTTGCACCTTCTATATCTTCACAGGCTTAAAATAACAACAGGTAAAACCGACAATTCTCTAGTGAAAAAAAACCATCCATTAACCAAATCTTCCTGAACAATGCGGGTGGGTGGTATGTTTGAAAATGCGGTTTTGACTGCAAGAAATGGATGTCATTGTTTTTCTAATCCCTTTTCATCAAGCCCAAAAGGCAAAAGTCCCGTTAAGTCGTCTGAAGAAAACGCCGTCATCCATCAAGCTCAATTTCTGCATCTTCAACAAGGACAAAACAAGTGTCTTTTTCGCCAAATTAAATCCTGTTTGTCATCAATCTCTCGAGCTTTAGCTGCATTTTTATGCTAATCTCTTCATCTCTTGATGTTCATTTCACTATAAGTCATATTTTAAGGAACAATTCGTCTTTTCTGGAAGAAAAATGTAAATAACCCCATTAGCTTCCCACAGCTTTTCCAACCATCGAAGAATGATACAGAAGTCATACGGTAACAACTCTGCTTGCTTTAGCTGGGGGTTCTTTCGAAAACCCCTTTGTTCGCCTTTGAAGACGAAAATAACCATGAAGAACCCCTGGCTTCAGTCAAACCCTTCTACCCAACCAGATTATTTTCTGTTGAATCGCCTCAGCTATTACGGTATTAAAATCAGTTCCTCTAATGAGGCCACTGCTTTTCAATGCCGAAATGAATTCTTCACGCGCTTTCAACTAGCTGTTTGAAGATGGCCATCTTATTTGTTTTCTACTGTGTAATTCCTAGGATGATTTGTTCACAGTTATTCTTTTGCTACGTTCCTTAACTCTGTTTTTGTGTGGATTTAGGAAACTGGACCAGTTGAACACAATAGAGTTTTTTTTGATCAATTCATCGGCGTGAGGATGCCATTTTCAAACTGGGGTTTCAAAGTCGCTTTTCTTCGAAGAAGAAGTAAACTCTCAAACGATAAATTTTGCCCAGAACTGCAGCTCTATTTTTTGTAGTACAAGTGCGGATTGAGCAAGCGAAGACAACAACAACAATAGATTGGAAGCATAGTTTGTTTCTATTCCCTCTACAAAAGCCCCAGAATGAAAGGGAAGATAATGATTTTCTTCGTCAGCTCGATTTTTCAACATTTTCGCTTCCAGCTAAATCAGGGTGATTCCGCTGATACTTTTTGAACGTTTATGTGCATAGCACTGGTCAGTATTCAGATCAATGGAAAATCGATCTTCAAAACCAGCCGCAATATTTCCTCGACTTTGATTGATGCTCTTTGCTATTCTAGCTCTATCTAACAGTAACATCGATTTTCTGCAATCCCATCACTCAAGATTTATTTATTCCAAGTAGAAACTCGAAGCAATGTTTAAAAAAACTCTTGAAACGGTATTTTCAGGACTTTTGGGTCGTGGTGGAACAAAATTTCTTCCTGATGTTTCACATTCCTGACATTCAGAACTTGTTATTATGTCACTTGGTAATTTGGCAAGTTGAGTCCTTAAAGTGGTCGGTAATTTGAATTAATTCGCATACAAAAACAGAAAAAGTGAACTTACTCAAAAACAATAGCAGCTGAGAGCAATATCCAATTCCAACGATTATTCAAGTAAATCCGTGAAGCAAATCACTGTGCACAAAAAGTTATGGGAAAAAACAAGTGACACACCACAGAACCGCTAGTATAATCCAATTACTCGCTGAAGACGTCCAGTCAGTTAGCTAAACTTCAGCCAGCAGCCGGACTGGCAGGTAAAAGATGCACAAAAACACAATGTATGGTCGGGCACACAAAAACTAACTCGAAGACTTCGGCGTTCTTCTTCTTCTTCGGGGTCAGCGTTCGTGTTGTTAGACTAGATGCGCCACCGGTTAGCGTGCACTGAACACAGTCCTGTTTCGTTTTAGGGCAAAACTACCTGAAATCGGACGAAATTCTTGGGAATTCAGTAGTTTTCGACAGTATTTACCGTTGTTTTTGATCGAGATACATTGCGCGAATGACGAACAGCCAACCGAACCGACACGAACAAATTGCACGAACGTTCTGAGGGCAACGCGACGGCTTGCCGGATCCAACCGAAGATGTCATCAAGCAGGCTCAGTCCAGAAGGAAATCGGGGCCGATCGTCACGAGTCGGTCGGTTCCGGGTTGCCGGTGTGGATGCCGACTCCACCCACATTGGATACTTCGTGAACTTGGTGAACGAAAAGCTGTGAACTGAGCTTTCTTATCAGATTCTGCAGGTTGGCTTCGATTCGATCGCTTATTATTCACCACAATTTGTCAGTTTGCTCAAGATTTCCAATCTAGGGCGGCCGCATCGGCTCACAACATCCAAACAGGCGCAATCACTCAAAGAAGAAAAGGGTTTTAAGTTCATCGTGTGGTGAAACTTAGAAAAGTAGTCATTATTCTGAAATTTTTCCAACATTGAAATAACGTCTAACAATTCGGGACATTTTAATGACTGTTGAGGCTGCAGTATCAGTGTGGCGTGGCATTGGAAACAGCAAGAGCAAAATGTGCACTTTTTTCTTTATATGTTTTTCACTCTATGAGGAAACGTTCTTCTTGACTCCTCCAGTTTTTTCTCGTATTTGTCTAAAACTCATAGGAAACGGTCTGTTTCGCAAGCAGAGGAAACACTTGGCTCTTGCACAAAGGCTCTTGAGAAACTTCGAAAAAAGCAGCGTCATGTTCAAGTGGATTTTGCAACTCAAAAAAAAACCACGCAAATCTAAAACTTCTTGAATTCAAGCATTTTTTGAGAAAACTGCCAACAATTCCCCATCCATGGTTCACTTTCTAAAAAGGCCATTTATTTCTTTTTAGAATGATGTAAAAACGAGCGTTCTTGCTCATTTTGCTTACGAGAAACATGCAAAACGGGACGGAAAACATGAAATTTTGCAATAATGTTACGCCACCCTTGCACAAAACGACGATAATTTTTCTAATTTCATAGACAACAGAAGACTGTATTTTTTCTACATAACCTCCCCCCCCCCTGAATTTAAAGCTGGATCCGCCCCTGGTTTGATATAGAAGTTGTGCTGAGCCCTACGAGCACGACACTGGACTCAGTTTTCAAAGGAACACTTTTGACCCAATTTTCTGTAGAAACTTAAGAATTTACACATTAACCAATAAACTGACTTAAAAACAGAAAAATTCAGGGGTTCATCTGCGGTTTGATAAGCAACCACTCATATAGAAAAGTCGTCTTCCTTCATACTTAAAACGATTAACCTACATTCTAAACTAATTGAATTAGATGGCAAAAATCCTGGTCATTTCCAAAAAAAATCCACTCCACTCTGAAGACTGAAGATACACACAGTTTATTCGAAAATCCTGTACGCAACAAACAATGACTCCCACATACGAAAAAATTCAATCAGCGACTTCGTATAGATTTTAATTTGAATACTTTCTAACGGCACCGGGTTATTTAAAATGGATAGATAACAACTATACTTTTGTTCTATGCATGTTACTCGGGATTCTGTAGGTTGAACACCAAAGATATTAACAGTGGATATTAATAAGTTCACCTTATTTTTTTCCTTTCTCGTATACACAATACGCGGATTGGACTGTTAAGTAGGCAGATACCGTAATATGGATGGTATAAATGGAATAATTAATTTGACAGCATTGAGAGTTTGGAAGGCGGTTTTTTTCCTGGTTGAAAGATCGAAGATCTTGAAACTCGTTTGCATTTTGCCTAAATTCCGCGCTCAAAATTTCGGTCTCAGTCACAATATTATCAGCAAACCAAACTCGACTAATCTTCATCACCACAACTAAGCTCTCGATCACCGAAAACAAATGCTTCGAAACTAAACACAGACGAATCGAAAAGGTAGAGAGATGAATATCCGGAGAAACGCAAATTTTCAATTTTGAAGCGATTATGTAATCTTGTCGGTTCGTTTACAGGATAATGCTGAACATGTTTGAGGATTTAATATGTCGGAAAGATTGTCTCAATCGGCTTATCCGAGTAGCAGCGCCGAGTTGACTTGCTAACATGCAAAATTAAGACTTCAGCAAATATTTAAGATTAGTTGAAAATGCGGTGGCGGAGGTCTGGAAAGTTTGCGTTTGTTAATTTGCAATATTTATTTGTTTCCTGTTTTCAGTGTTTTCGCAACAAAGACAACTTTTTGTTGAAAACTGTGAAAATCTTACAAAAACTTCAAACATACATTGAATGAATAAATAAAAAATTATTGTTTGCTAAACTTGATTCTGAGGCCCTTTAGATAGGTGAAGTTCAAAACCCTGAAAATTTCACTCAAATCGGGATAATTACTGAGTTTTACCAACTTGGTAGAAATGTCCTAAAAATCGACGTTTTTACTCAAATACACTGGCGTGAAAAATTAAAAACTCCCAACCCAGAAGGATCAGCCACTTGAAACTTTCGCAGTCCATTGAGTCCATAGAAAACTGAATCAAAAAAGTCGGAACCCTGAAACTTTTACTCAATTTGGGATTTTTGCCGACTTGCTAAAGTTGTCCTCAAAATTGACGTTTTCATGCAAAAGCACTCTTTGCTTGAAAAATTCACAGCTTCCCACGTAGAGCTAGTAACAAATTGAAACTTTCACAATCTGTAGGAGGTATTTGAGTTTACATCCTATGAAAATTGCAAAAAAATCGACCAAACTTCTGATTCTTGCCGCCTTGCAAAATGTACTCTCTGAGAAAGATTCAAAACTTTAAATTTAGAGCGACTAGCAATTTGAAACTTTCGCAGTCTACAGTTGAATCTGAAAACTAAACGTGCAGAAGATTAATGCGGAAGGTTCCAAAATCAAACCGGTAAACTTAGCAAACCTAAAATGAAGCTTCAAAAGTCCAAATATCATTTGATTTTGAAAGCTCTGAGGACCTACGGAAAACATGGCAAAATGCAACTTTTCTGAAGCACTCAAATTCGGCATAAAACTTACATTAAAACCAATCTAACAACCAAATCTTCAATCAATTCACTACACAATCATAATCCCCCAAAAAATCGGTCGATTTTCGATTAAAACACCTAATGATTTAAAGAAAAAAATTACAGCAAACATTTTTAAATAAATTAAAAACTATCGTTTGCCAAAGGCGATCATGAGGCCCTTTTATCAAACATTCCAGCGTCGATTTCACCCATATCCAACATGCCCTCAACCTACGCTTATTACAAAGGAAGGGTTTTCCTGATAACAAACCCTCCACATTTTTTTCTGTGCATTAAAATCGTTCAGCAAACGTAATAAACCCGAAAATAGTTGCGATAAAGGCTTCGTTAATATGCCTCAAAAACATTTTTCAAGTAGAAATCAACTAATCTAAGTGCAGAGTGCGAGCAGAACAATCAACTGGGCACTAAAACCGAAATTTACTGTTGCTACATTCCAACCTAAATAAATAATGTGGAGAATACTTTTATCAAGTCATGTTTGTGTGATAATTTAGAGGACCCCGGAGAAATAAGGGGCCCACAATTGTCCCATAAAATATCGAGACAAACGATATTTGCCGATATTAGAAACTGGAGGCAACTGTTACCAATTCCTCCTCATTGTTTGCTGCACTATTATAAGCAGGGGTGGTTGCATCCCCTTTTCTCTACATGCTGCAGCCAGTTTAATTAATGCGGAAAGGTGGCGGTATCAATGTATCGAATCCGTGTAATATTGCTTGCAAGTATCTAATGATCTGTGATTTATCGAGCCTTTTTCACTAAATTTTCAGTTTCCATGCATAAATACTCTGGATAATCAGGACTGTTGATGAGTCCAGGTGCGGGTAAACACCCCAACTGAAGACATAAAGATCAATAGAGTGAGAATTTCCACCTTTCATGAAAGGCTTTATATATGTTATGACCCTTCCCCCAATCATAAAACCGTATTTATTGGGCCCAGCACACGTCTTCACCCCATTTAGAGCCCCGAAAAATCCACCTCAATGCCACCCTGCACCGAGACGAAATCTTTGTGTCGCAGCAGATGGTGAGACACAAAAGACTGTTGATGTCGTTTAGCCGCTCCCCAGAATCATGCCAGTCGACTAATTGTTGGATTCTGCTTCGGTTTATTTAGACATAAAGACAGAAAGTCTCTTTAGGGCATACCTATGTCAAAATTAGAGGCGATAAATGGGAATTTCTAATTTTGGGATGCGTAAACCAGCGGTGAATTGCGATGTCTTTCAAATTACAATTGAAATTTTGCCGGAATAAAAATTGACCGCTTTGACAAAACGTCGATTTAATCTTAATAATAATAATTAAAATACGAAAACCGTATTCATTTTTTAATCAACTTATTTTCCGAGTTGGGCAATTGTTTTAATTCATTTTTCTGGGCCAATTGAACCTTGGATGCAATTAGGGCACTTTGAGCAAAATTTTCTATTATTTTTTAGTTTGTATAGAGGCAGTTTCAACCCTGCAACTTTCTATCGAGGCTAAACAGAAAATTGAAACCCAAACAGAGCACATGAAAGTTAGCATTTTGAGTGTAAATCACATGAAAATTGGCTTATCGAAGATTAACAGAGGAACAGCATCGATTGAAAACAGCTTTGCCAGCAAGTTACAGGCCCGTACAATTCTCACATTACTTATCAATACAGTTAAACGTCTTGATGTTTCTATTTTTTCATTTATCCGATGTTTTCTAATTAGGCGACGGTCAAACGATATACAACGAATGATCGCTTTTGAGCGAAACCTTTGAACATCGGATTGTTCTTTTTCCAACGGTAGTCTGAGTGTAATTGTTGGCGGTTGTTTTGATGCTAATTTTCCGTCAAGGTGGTGTTCTTTTTATGATTTCGCGTTGTGAAAGCCAACTAACCAGCGGTTTTTTTTTGTTAAAAAGATACACGGATGTTTTATGTGGCTGTTTGTATTCCCGAAGGATTTTCAAATATTTATGGCAAATTGAGTAATGCTTGTTAAAGGAAGCAGCTAAGCTCGGGCTGGATTTACGGGTCTTTCTGTTAATTTTTCATGTGGGAAACTGAAAATCGCAAGAAAAAATCCACCGTTTCACCATTT